CAAAATTTATTGTATCGTCCAAGTCCATGGTCTGATTGAATCTTGCGATGTTTGCGGTGCATCCAATTAATGGGAACTAATATACACTTGTTGGCAAATTTGTTTATAGTTGTCTTAAATAAGATGGATAAACAAATAAGGTTGATATAGTCTGTAATTGAATCGCGATGAACGATAATGTTCTAGACCAACGTTCTTATGCCACTTTTGTGATTCCTGTACTCGCTGCTTCTAAGCAGAAAATAGATGGGTCAAGCGCAGCTAAGAACATGATAGTGGTCAGCTTGTGCATATGGAAGTGGTCCTATAAGTGCGACTGTTTGATGCAGATGTCCTCAACCCTACCGTGTAACAAGGAGTAGTTGGCAAAAGTTGCCGAAGCACAAGCTTTCGCCAAAAAGGACATTAGTCAAGCGTATTTACAGAACTGAATGGCCGACGACCTCATATCTAATCATAAGGCACTCACTCCAAACAGTTAGCCAAAATAGTTTACTGATCTTTACTAAGAAGTTTTCCTGTATAGCCAGATGCACGAACGAAGATAACTTTTCCTTCATTTTGAAAATTTTTGCTGCTTATTTAAAAGCCGTTTTTTGGATTACTCGAGGGGATCACATTGCAGTTTACGTAAATGTTTTCTATTTATTAAACGTTTTTCCAAGTATTCAAGGCCAGGCGGAAGTGGGTTAAGGTTTTATTGTACTCGCTTGCTTGGTACTTGGTTTGTAGACTCTAGGAGGCCAGAGTGTAGTAAGCGAAGAATCACATCGTGGTGCGCCAGGCGACTTGCTTTGTAGTTTTCTGTGATAACATGTTTCAGGTTTCGCAGGTCTTATGAATTCGTGATTTATTAAGAAAGTAACAAAATGGTTTTAGTAGCTTCCATCTGAATCTGTGCGGTGTTGTCTAAAGCTAACGTTGATCGTCTACATGTAAGTCGTTCTACGGATTCTTTGAAGATAGCAAGGACGGCATACTCATGTGTCCTTGGTGCGTCGAAAAAGGTTGGACGGTAAACGTAATGAAGTGCAGGTAGCAGATCTAGTCCCAGTGCGCGCTCGTCCACCCGCAGGCACATTCCCAGGGAAAACTGATCGGTTATATCGCCGCATATAAGTCATTCCCATTGATGCGAACAAATCTATCGCATTATTTCTTAATTGAAATAATGTCGTATAAGTACACACAATACCATAAAAAATGAAACTTCTGGCAGTTTTATTTTTGTTAGGTGCAGCAGAGTTTGTAGTACAGGAAGCCTAGCAAATTACGTCTTATTTACTCCAGAAAAAGATCCTCTTTTACTCTCTGACTTAAAAATAAATGCCATCGTAAACGTTCACATGTATGCTTCTTTGTTTGTTTTTTTATACCAGTGGTCTTTAAAAAAAGAGAAGCTCAACTGTAATAGAATAATGTGTCTTTATACCATTCAGAGTTACTTCAGTCAAGTCCTCCTTATTTACAAATATCTGAACAGCTTTGCTGCAGGGCGTTCAGCTAGGCGTACTTTGTTGTATGATATATGCAAAAGATAGGAGGCTGAGAATATATTTTTCAAATTTGATATTGAATTAACGAACGTTAAGCAGTAGCATGCTCTCTAGAAACTTTACAACGTCATAAGTTGAAATCTTCAAATTTTCGCAAATGTGTTTCTCTCTATCTTCCGTAAAATAGTTTTCTTTCTTTATTATCTGTCATTTGGTAATATCTCGTAACTTGGGTGTATATTCAGGTCAACCAAACCGTGTGCTCTTCTAGCTAGTATACATATTTTGATAATAATATTTTCTTGACATATATTTAAGTTGGGGTAAGCTAAATAACTCTAGGTGATATAAGTTGAAGCACCCGTGACTAGGCACTTTGGGCAAGCATCCCAGTCGGTTGGGACGACCCAAAGTGCTTCGTGCTTCTATGCATTATAATTCTTATAAAATCGTACGCACATCACTATGCGAGGTAGTGTACATCATAGATAAATTAAACATTTGAAAATATGAGGCGTAGCCATCTTTTTCTTCGAGACGAAATTTCATTCGGTATTTTCGTTATTTTGATCCACGACATCGATAGCGTTGAGCTGGCACCTGAGTTCCGCCACCAGTATGTCGTAATTCTGTTAACATCTGAATTCAACTTGTCTTGTTTTTATTCTCCGTATTTTGTTAATTTCTTAACAGGAACAAACGCGCGGTAATAGCCAAAGCCGAATCTTACTAAACGAACTTTCTCCTTCTGTATTTCTTTTAAATCAACGTTCTAGTTTAGTTTAACAACAACGAAAATAGAAAAGCCGTCGCACATGTAGCGTAGGCAAATCAAGACTAACTGATTTTGTCTTGATGCGAGAAAAACGTTAGCGTTCTACTCATCGTTGAAATCTGACAATCGACCAAAAAATTCGAATGATTGCACCGATGCACAACGTAAAGTCGTTTGTATTTATTGTGTTTCACATTTGTTGGACAGCTCGTTGAGCTGAAACATCCGCGTCCCGTAATCAAGATACGTATTGTACACCCTAAGACGAAGCATAAAATCCTGATCTATAAAGGATAGGTAGTTCGATCCAAACAATATAAGCTTCACTTGTTTACATTTTTAAAATAAAACAAATATATTTTACTCCTCACATGATTATTTTACTTCTTGGTGTGTCTTAGGCCGAGATGCCAACCAACAATCACTCTCGCGGCGCGAGATTAAAGTCAAGACTAAATATGCAGTTACTGCAGCCAGTATCGGATGATATAGGCCAGGGTGGATCAATCAATCAAACCAGGTGCCTCCGGTATAAAATTGTACGAGCCACTTCAAGCCAGTGCACTAAGAGCATAACGAAAGCAATATGAAACTATATGCGTGGAAATAAGTTAAATGAGAAGGGCGGCAATCCAGTCTGCATGCGTGTATGTCTGCGTTACAACTAAAGAAGTACCAGGGACATGAGCAAGCAGCGACTCAGCTGGGGGCGAGTGATTCCTCAAAAGGAACTTAGGACTGAGCATAAGTGTGCCTGAGGCGGCAAGCCTTTAGAGAAATAGCGGATTTAGTAAAAGGAGTGTTAAGTCCTCAACGGCATATAAACGAAGAATTATAATTCGAACCCCAAAGTACCTATAACTGTGAGGATACAGAACGTATGACAGTGCAAACTTGTTTAAAAGCCATGGCCAGCAAGGAGTCTCGTCGGCAAGCAACCTCTGCCGAGAAAAGCACTATTATAAGCGTTTGCCTTACGAACCACGCAACACTTCCTGCTGTCCTTTTAGATGAAATACAATCATCTCTTTCTATTCGGTAGTCCAGATAAATTAAGCACAGCACTTTGTAAAATATTAAATTGGAAAGAAAGTTCCGCGTTTCCTTTGGCTAACAGAAAACACCACATGTTTTTATTCCTTTGCCAACAAGTTATTATGATTTGTTTCCCCCGTCATTGTTCACGTCTTTCTCCCATTTTGATGCCAAATGATACATGCCATCCCTTCAGAAGCTAGCGGATTTTGCCTGTAACAAGTCTGCTCACTACGATTTGAGTTGTTGATCCGTAATGAAGCTGAGGCCACGAAAGTAATTGCCGACCGAGAGAAAAAGGCGAAAATCCACCTGCGCAAGGTCCGGAGAATTCGAAAAGTGCAACAAGACCAGACATTCAAAATCCGAAAGATCCGCAGCTTCAAAAAAGTTTGCTGTGTATGGCCTTGCGTTGTCATCGAGCAAGATGACCTGACCTCGTTTTTCAGGTCTCTTTCTTTATGAATAGCCTGCCTGAACCGGTGTAACTGAGCCAAAAAGACATGCCGATCAGTCTGAATCGTAGGAAGTAATTCCCGGTGAACCAGTCCCTCCCTTTATAAGCGATGCCTTAAAAGATAAAGGTTTAAACTAAGATGGACAATAATAATAATAATTATTATTATTGTTATTGTAGAGATTGAATTGTATTGTGGACCATACATATATAATTTAACAAATGGAACTACGAGGATCGTGAATTTAGTTGGCTGACTAATGTTTTTATAGGTCATCGGAAAATCATCGTAAGCTTAGCCATTGTGAACGACAGTGTACCACTCCATTTAGCTGGCCTGACTCGATTGTTATTGTGTACACGTATGCCTCTGAGAAGAAATAAATGCTGTAGCACCTGGCATGACTTTCCTGAACGCGACTTCTTCATTCTGGACAGCGTTCTACCTTTTTCCACCGTCTACACCAAGCTCAAGTCGATGTTTGATTCTTCTGGGCTTCGGATTGATGTAGTAAGCTTTCCGTCTAACAAATAACAAATGCCGTTCCGGGAAGCCTCAATATACTATCGCACTGTGCAAGCAAGCAGATCTGAAGTACCTATTCGTGTGTACAGCCTTCATACGCATGGCTTCAGCAACTGTTATTCGTTTACACAGAAGTAGCATTATTGGAGACACTTCGAAGAAGTGGTGATAGTGCCGATCGTAGTATTAGTTTAGTACTTGCGTGGTTCTGAAGTGATGCTTGATGGTTGTATCAGATGGCAGATTGAAGACATCTATCAACAACTACGTAGTAGGGGAGTAGATTGAAATGCTCGTCACAAGATCACAGGCGTTTCATTTTATGAACGAAAGAAATTATGAGATCTGATCGGCTAGCAGGTGTCTACGTAACTTGGGGTCTCGATCAGATTATATTGATTTTTCATGATATTAGCCATAAGCTAAAGATTCTTTTACCTAGCAAAGAATAGTGCGCCATCTGTCACGATATTTAGAATATTGAGCGGTTTTATTAGCGTGCTTAGGATTCTGCCAGCTAAGCTGCTAACTGTTTAAAACCATTTTTCCAACATGCAATGAATAATGTAAACACAACTCGACGACAATATAACTAATTTTCTGTCTTTTCGTGCCGACATAAATCACACCGTCTGTAGAGCATATTGCCACATACAGTGCGTTCATTTAATTTCACATATAACTGCACTACATATATATGTATCTAGTTTGTTTCATGAGACATTCATACAGTCATGAAGCCGGTTTACCGTACATATTTAATGTAACCTGACAATTAGCGAGAAATTTGTATGTGGCTGCCGTATATGACTCAAACGTACTTAAACAGGACATGAAGCCTTTTAAATTGCCCGCGGTTCTTGTTTGTATCTGTTTCGCTATCTGAAAAACCTACTGGTGATGCAGGCTGTGAAATTGAGCACGGCATTTATTAAGGTTTATTATAAAAATGGTTCTGGCTTTATTAATGGCATATTACTTCGCTGGACATAAACTGAGTTTATCAATTTCACTCCACGAACCACATTGGCAGTAATGCACCTTACGGGTTTGCTCTAGAATGTTTAGACTCCGTGTATATACTTGATCTGCTTTTACGATCGCGTTTCTGTTTGTAAGGTGCCGGGCGAATTCCGTTGTAATCTTGTACATTATCAGTTGCCCACTAAATGAAAGATAAATAGAAGCTTTTTCATAGACAAACACACTGATATAATCACAAGGCAAAGTTACAATTGACGTCGTAGGTATGATCTATAGGATATTCCGGCAGTACAAAAGTGGATTTATCCAACGCGTATTCATGTGACCTTCGATCTCGATGGTTGTCTTCTTTATGTTTCCCATTACATAGCTTTTCGTGTTTCACTTCTTGCTCTTCTTCTTAGTTTCTTTTTTAGAAACAGGTTTAGCTTCCTCCTCGGAGTCGTCACCCTTTTTCGCAGTTTTCTTGCCTCCCTAGAGCAGAACGATAAACATTAGTTATCAAAACATTCCTTTGTCAATCCAGATGCTCAACGCTCATACACATATTGAAATCGTAGCTGATTTCGCCAGTTTAGCTACTCAGCAGCATGTCATAATTAATCCACTAACAATGTTTTTCTGGTTTCCAGTTTCAGTTTTATTTTTAAGGTTTACGCGTGTCATATTGAACACGCTCCTCCAATATGCTTATTATGTTAGGGGGTGTTTTCACAGAAATATCGGGTTGACCTTGCAATTATTTATTTTAATCTCCTTTATTGTTAACACGTGGTATATGTCGCGTATTTTGGAAGGAAATGACTGGAGGTAACATATACCCAATGTACCCCTTGTTGGTCTTGTTGTAAAGTGAACGACATTAGTTCACTACCTCAGGTTACAATTTGCTATGTTTTTTTCTATTATCTCCTAATTTCTGTATCTTAAGTTTTACATTGTTAAGTATTCTATCAGACGACTGACTCCTTGCACGCAACGAGATGTGTCTATGCCCGAGGTCTATATGCATACGTACTATCGAGGTGATTCATATTGCAAATGTTAGCTGAATGTAGCTCAGATCAATATATAGGAAGCTGTCTGGCACAGGATGAATCCCAATATTGTTTTATGTCGTAGAATACTGGTTCAATGAAGCTATTGTAGTGTTTTCCAATCAAACCACAATGCATATTTTATAACCACAAAGGCTCAACGAATTTCAGCTTTTAGTTACTGTGGAATATGATGTCCGTGTTGTTTCACAGGTCTGTCGAAGGACCTAGCATAAGTCCAGTAAGATCCACCGCGGCTAGACCTTCTAGTAACGGCACGTCCTTACTGCTGTACCGAAAAAATTATTTCAGAGGCTTTCACATGGTAACAATAGCTAACGTCGTTTTAAAAAACTAAAATTGAAAAAAAAAAAGAAAATCTCTGCTCTCGTATTTTTGGATGTCTTTAAACTTCTAGAAGTCTTTTTATTCCAGGTGTTTCCTAAGTTTTAGCAAATATAGAGGACAAGTAAACACATGTGTTGAGTTCTTTTAGCAGGAAACACGATACAAGCAGCGAACAGTAAGCCGATACATGATCGAGGTGTTCAGTTCATGGCTGGCTCTTTCAGAATTCAAGCCTACTTTTGTTGAAGAGCATTATACAATCTTGTTGGCAATACTTATTGGTTATTCCGCAGAACCATTTGCCATAAATTCACAAATCGCAACTTTTTGATAGTCAAAAAATACTGTGCGACCAAGCTTGATTCTTGACTGTGATATTGAAGCCTTTGTCGCCCTAGACTCATCTCCTGAGCGATGCCCAGACGATTGTCTTTCTTCCTTCCGTTATACCGATAAAAGCACGTCTCATCTATAGTGACGCGTTCAAGCAAATAAGGCTTCAAAGGGTCATTATAGATAATAACAATAATAACAGAAACAACTGTTGACGGGATTGCATTTGTTGAAATCAGGTTCTTCGGCATACTGATGATTGTTTCAAATGCTCCAGCATGACTCGTATGAGATGCTTTGTTCTTTTATGAGTTCTTTGGAAGTGATTCGGTCATTCTACAGCAGTTTTACTTTTTCTACGTTTTCGTCCGTACTCACTGTAATAAATAAACTATCCAAAAGAAAAATTGCTCTTTCGTATGCCGCTAAATTGTAGGTATCACATGCTAACTCAACATCGACGCAGTCCTCAGGAACCTCAGCAACACTCATGAGCATTTAATTTTGTCTGAACAAAAAGTTCAAAAAACAAAGCACGGTCGGAATTTTCTTCTTTTAAAACTTCTTCTGAAAAGCTTGCAAGATACCCTCGGGGCACTTATAATCAAATCTGCGAAATACCAAGCATACGTTCGAGTACCTTAAGATTTAGGCTGTTTCAGATGGTTGGCCTTTTTCAGCGCGACACGAAAAGTTGAACTTGCGGACAGCAGGCAGGTTATTGTAGGCAGAACTATAAACACGTTTATGGTCCGCTTTTCATACGAAAAAAAAAACTCAAACTTCTATTGATTTTCCGTACGCCCATTCGTGGCAGAATTACTATTGAGTTCGATCGGCTTGAGATCGTCATTTATGCAAAGAATTTTGATTTAGTTAACTAGAGATGAAACAGTTAACTGACTCCAACATTGTTACAAAAGTTCAAATGTTCGTTATAGGTTGAGAAAAAGTACCCGAAATTTTTTTTTTCGATCTTTATCAACCTAGCAGCAACCTAATCATCGAATTTGAACATGGAATCTTGCAGAAACGATATTATTTGTTCGTCTATTGCTAGTAAACGACCTTTGGTAGTACTTCCTTCCACATGTTTTCTTCTAGAAGGAAAATGTGGCGCCGAATCTTTCATGCTTCGTAAGTATAATATACGAGCTTGTAAAAAATAATCGTCTCAATGAAGCCTAGGTAGAAGTTCGCAAGGAAGCATCTTTTTATGGCTTGAAGATCATCACTAGTACTAATAGTATTAAAATGATTGAAGCAACAAACCTTCTTTCTGGGCTTTTCCTCCTCTTCATCTTCGTCATCGATAGCCGCAACCGCAGCTTGCTTTTCTACGTAGTCTTTGAGGGCATCGGAAACAACCTTAAAGCCAGACATATGAGTAAAGGATTACAAAAGAGAAAATATTTGAACATATAGGCGCGCCCGCGGCTGCGTGCGTTGAGGTAAACTATGATAATTATTTCTACAGATGACAGGAAACACCTAAAATTCGGGGATTTCCGACTCTTAGACTTATGTGGCGGAATTACGAATTTACAACATTACCTTTGCAAAAAAAAATAGTCACTTTTCCCCGTAGCTCAATAACGACTTTGAGGTGAAATACTTCATAGTTCGATCAGTTGAGCCTTAAGATCAAGAAAGCTAATTTAGTTCTGAAGAAGTGAGATGTTGGTATGCTAGATTTTGCATAGGAGGTGCTAATTATGACATTTTAGCGTAGTCCAAACTCTAACATTTTTTTCTTAAAAAATCAAAGTAAGCTTAAAAAATGCAGGAAACGAGAGAGAAAATTTCAATGTACTTTAATGTACGCTAGCTCATCAATATCGTGTCAACACACGATAGTATTTTTAATAGAAATTGGTAAGGCACTGTGGCTATTTTCGTCATGTATTATGAATGGCCTCGATGGTCTAATGCCGACTGCTTTTTTGTTTTAGCAAACGGAAATCGAGATGGGGAATTATATTTCAGAACAGGGTTATTTTGAAACGGTACAACACCTTTTAGTTTTGCTCTCGCAATTAGATTCTAAGACTTTTCGTATCAGGTACAATTACTTAGGCTTTGACAAACAAATTACAGTAAACCACAGAAAACTAAAGCGGTTTACGAATGCGAGTTCCACGTTAGAACCGCAATAGCAGAAACAGTTCGTCGTACAAATCCTATATTTATCGAAGGATTTATTCGTTTATTTAGCCTAGGAAACTATACGTATATATATGGTATATATCGGTATATGTATAGAAATTCAAATGGGAGAATTTACAACTGGAAAATTAACCTTGTGAAGAGCTGTGGCGGAAGTCGGCTTATATTAAAGCGCAGCATTGTAAGAATTCAAGTATGATGAATGAAAAATGTGTCCATCTTTGTCAAATTAATAAGAAAAAGATTTATATCAGGAAACGCCCCACCTACTCTTCTTTATTCTCATCTTTGCACCCCAGATTTGCATAGCAGCAAAATAAATAAGTTACAGTCAAACTGATACAAGTTTATAGACCCTTCGAATTGAAATGAATAAGTTATGAATATTAACAAAGTTAAGAGAAAGACATTTTATGACATGCACCTGTCCTTGACTTGATGCGGTTCTTGCTTTCGCAGATATGTTTTACTAGACTGGGTGGTAAATAGGTAGACTGGACTATCAAACAAACTGCCGGCACTTATGTTTTAGTGCACCTCTTAAGAATGTTCGCCGATACTTTAAATCAAGCGGCTGTTTATAAGCGAGAGATTATGCAGCATGGTAATAGATAAACTGTTATGCCTTATTAAGTCTTCCACTTAACGGATTTTGAAATGAAAAACTGATAACTGTTAATGAAGTATAGATTTCCTGCTTCATTCCTGAGAGTAAGCAATGTCAAGAGTGTGGGTTAAGAGATATAAACTAACCCGGACCTACCTGAAAAAAGGAATTTAATAAGCGGAAAAATCGGACTAACTATTTTGTAAAACCTTAGCGAGATAATTGAAAATTGCGAATATAATATAGTTATTTTAGCCCGACGAAAATATTATTGGTGCAAGATACTCATTTAGACTAAAAGTGCTTTGCCATGGATCAATGCACCTTCTTGCAAATCACTGCCTCAGGATGGCCAAGATCAAGTAAATAAAGCTTACATGGATCTGCCGTTGCGGGTAGATCATGCGATGATTTGATGCTATTTCCAGATTTCAAAGGAGCGTTTTTAATACAAAATATAAATATATAGCAGTATATAATAAAGAGTACAAGGCAATTACAAAGCTTTTTCTTTATATTCAGGCTAGGTTCTAGCTAAATTGCCTAATAATTTAAACTAATGTTGTTCCTCGGGTCCTATAACCTTTACTCAAGTCTACTCCAGTTCAATTCAGTAAAGTTAGCTATGAAGAAATCAAAGATAAATAATAAATCAAAGCTAATTCAAGTTGAAATACCTTCTCACAATCCTTTAGTGAACTAACGGTAGGGACAGCGTAGTGTATTTTACGAGAACCACCCGAGCGTCCTGCAACCCCCGTGCGATCTGGAAGTTCATAGCAAATGTATGGTCAAACGTTGCAATATGTCAAGAATGTTCACAGCTAGCAAAATTTTTGCCCATTTTAATAAAATTTCGAATACAGTAGTCCATTTTTCCAACTTACTTTACAGAATTAAGAAGATGGGGTGTTAAACTATGTCTATTTGATTTTCAGAATGTTGAATTTTTGTTGCCTTAGTAAATTTCAGAGGTCAGAAACTTGCAAAGCCTTTTTTGTTAGCCATCTACATGCTGAACGTTAAGGATTGATTCTGACCAGCTGTTTTTCTTACATAGGGTGAATGTCCAGTGTTTATTTCTATAAATGTTTACTTAAAATCTGTACTCGAAGTGTCTATGTAAAATGTTTATTCTATTATAATATATAAGTTTTAAGAGGCCCATAAGGTTACAACTGCAAAATTAAATTTGATGATCCGAGGGGATTGATAAGGTCAAATTATTGTTTGAAAATGACTAAGACAAATTTAGGAGGCAATAAAGAATATCTTTTACTATAATTCACTGTTTTTTTAGTGTTTGCCACTATATGGCACGCATAAAGTGGCATTTTGTGCCACTTTATGGCACGAAGCGGAACCGAATAACACAAAGAAGCAATAGGGTCTCTGAGAAACGAAAAATTGATCCTGCTCTCCCTTCATGGCGGAACACTCAAGATAACAGTGTTATAATAAGAGAATAAAGTGCCTATTGTGCTACAGAGCATAAATTGCTTAAGAAATGCATGTTGTTTTGTGTTTTTGAGATCATATTTAAAGGCTCGTATTTATTTTCATACTATTCCTTCCGACTAGCTGGAATAAAATGCAAAAAAACAATCACTATTATGTCGACTAATAAATAGTTGTTTTTTCAGCTCACTTTAAGTAATGGTAATCCATGGAAGGAACTAGCCTTACCTATACAGGTATTTATTTGGTATTCCGTAAGCTCCTTCCACTGTTTGGTAAGAGAAGCATCTGTCAGCTACCCTAGCAAGGTATGCAATATTTTGTTTTAATATTTTGATTTATTATAAGCTCAGTTTTTTTTTTACCTTTCTTTTGTTTTTAATAGATTGTCCTTCAAATGGAAAATCTTCCTAGATTGACCTGAACCGTCGTAATCCGATAGAGCAAGGTCTGGGATAAAGAAGGAACACTTAGGGTCTACCCCGAATCTTCAAAGTCACATGGAACCAAATGCTACCGTACAGCTTGATCACTGACTCAAATTCACGTGTTCAGTAAACCGCAATCGGCGTTTACCACTTCACTGCACTTTGAAAGATTATAGTAGAAAGTTCGGTGTTTTCCTTAGGTTAACTAAAAATCTAAATCTTGGTGATTTAGGTCCTACAAAATCTGAGGTTTGTAACGGGTTATCCAGAATTTAGTTCTGTGCTGAAGGTATCGTGAAATATCGATTTTTACAATAACCACTAATCATATGCAGAAATGTTTCTTATTTTTATTATGCCTGCACCACGTTCGTGTAAGAAGACCCCTAGTGCATGCGGACATTTAGGGAAGATTCGGCTCACTTTTAGCTGTGCAGAAAGCACTGGGGTAAATGGGCCAGTTTTTTATGTGGCGGTCCGGCGCATGATTTATATTCCAAATCCCGATTTCCGACTCTAAAGTTCTGACACCTTTAGGTGAAGCCTGTTAGATACTGCTGCTGATTTCTTCAAGCTCAAATACAGTTCCCGTTGTCTCAACCACAGACCCTCCAACGGAAAGGTAGTTGAATACGCAGTTCTTTTTTTACTTCCAAGAGATAATCGCACAGAAAATTGTAGTTACCTAATACATCTAAGATGTAAATGGTGCAGCCTGAAAAAAATATACACAAAATAATTTGACTACAGACAACAACAGGATCGAAACCTGTACTTCAGAGCCATACTCTATCATTGGAGAGAAAAAAAAAATTGGAAATGACCGATTTTCATACGATATGGTAATATACATTTAAAAGTATTTACCCTCCAAAGCTATATTTTTGTTTACTTTTCTAATGGCACTAAAGGTATGCGATAAACGAGCAACTGTCTCCTGTTCCGACCTGCTGACTTTTAACTTGAATTAAGATTTTATCAAATTTGCCCGGACTTAAGGATAAACTGTTAACCCGAAATCGAAGAAGCTGACGATTTAAAGGAACGAAAAGCTGAGAATGAAAAATAGTAGCCGAGTTTTAATTACACGCTGATATGAAATAAGTGCCGATGGCGTCAACTGGTAAAAACTTTTTCGTGACGACCTGATGAGCCTTTAGCGTCAGATTACCGTTGAAATGCTTCAAATGTTACCTACAATATTTAACCGTCTTTCAACGAACAGCTTATAATAAATGAAACTTATGATATGTCTTGCTAAATATTTTGCTTCAAACATTATTGTTATCGTGTTTTGTTTTTATCGCTTGCAGTAGAGCGCTCTCCTTTGTGGAACAAATCCGCCGTATCTCTTTAAATCTTTAGCGCCAACATTTTCCGTTATTTTTCTTACACTGCGAAAGTTCTCAAAAAAAATTGTTGTTGCTGTAAAATTTTTATTCTACAGCTTTAAAGGTTTTCTTTTTTAAGCCGATGGCTTCTCATTGTTCCGTCTAACTTACCTATTTGGCTCTGTCATTATACTGGAAGCAGTTTGGTGCGAATCCATGTTGTTAATTTCAGAAAGCAAAGCAGAGAAACCGCTGAGCTTAGATTGGCGCGACGAATAAGTCCATATGGTATAGCTCGTTATATTATTTCATAAAAAAGAGATACAAGTACATGTTTTCGAACACGCGCGCCTTTCAACTATTGCCTTAATTTACGCCTAACATTGCGCCTTAATTTGTGCCAAAAGAAATTTGATCATGCTCGCTATCCGAGATCGTAGAGACTATAGTTTAGGATAACTATTTTTTTGCTATTCTAACGGGTCTGCTGATTTATTTTAAATCGTCTATCGGTTATCAGCCTATGATCAATTTGAATAGTCTGCGCAAAAGAAATATCTTGAAGGCGAGCGGTGTCTGTATCCCGATTATTTATGCTCGATTTTTTTATTTATTTATTTAATTCTTGTATCTACTTGGAGTTCGATGCCAGAAAAGTTCAATAAATATCGTATACTCTTTATATATATGACGAACTTTTAGCAACCAGTAGCATAGTAGTATATAGCCTTACAGCCTGATCTCCTGATTATTCTCCGACGTTTTCGGGTTATGCACCCTTTTAATGGTCCGTGTAGATTTTGATCTTTAGGAGCTTATATAGCTACTACATATCCTGGTATGGATACTTCTTTGTTTGTTTTTCGTTATAGCCTTTGGAGAGACCTATGCTGAGTAATCACGCATTTTCTGTTAAACATAGTTCTTGAGAATACCTACCAATCCGAGCGCTGAGACCCTCTCGTTCGTATTGGTACATAATATAATAGCCTTACTGATAACTTGAACACCATTATGATATATGACTGTACCAACAACACGTTGCTTTTTACAATGGGATGATACGAGACTTTGATCGGTTCTCAAATCTTAACTTTTTTTTTTAAAAATTGAATGCTGTACTTGTAGATTACATCGGAAATTCGATCAGAAGCTAGAACTTACGGACAACCAAGTGCGAGTCAGAAATAGCTCTGTTAAATAGAACGGTCCACTTTGTAAATTCGGAGACAACAGCTGTCAGTAGTAGACATTCTGCCATATTTGTATAAATTTTGTGTGTGTCTATCATTAATGCATTTTCCGACTCTTCACTGATCTGTTGTTGCAAATGCCCTTAAGTAAATGTTGCAAGTTCTATACTGCTTACCACTACTTGAGAGACACATTATCCATGTCTAAGAAATCAACAGATAGGAAAAAATGCTTCACGGCTGCTAAATTTGTGCTCTTAGGCGCTGACATGTTTACTCTTTGAGAACATGGCATCTTATTTCGCCCACGCTAAGTCAGACACACACCTTCACCACGCTACCAATCTTGTGTCTTGTGTCTCGGGTCTTATCTCGTTTATCAGAATAGGTTTGATACATTTGGGGCGAACCGATCTTACGATATATCTTTACTGAGTCGTCCGCAGCCTGAATCCTAAGGCGAACTTTCCGGATTGAAAGAGGCGTATTTCAGTGAAAACTTGTCGACCTTTCATTGTTTCCGTCGTACTACTGAAAGCGTTACTGACTGTTCACTAGCTGACGCTGATATAGAGTCGTCTCTGAGGATCCTGATGTACGAGCCCAAATGCGCTTCGAGTCGGTGTTGCACTGTTGAACCGAACAAGGGTAGAATAAGGAGCAGCTGCAAGCCAAACTCGTAGGCTTTCCTAATATATTCGTGCACCCCTCATTATTGTTCATTTATTTCCTAATATATTTGTGTACCATTCATTTGTTTATTGAGCTCGTTCAAGGTATACCCTGACACGCAACTTTTGAGACTCGTCGACGAGAAATTCAGAAGCTAGATGCTTTTTCTCATCCACTGTCAATCGGACGAAATTGAAGAGTTGCATTTTTTTTTCAATCTAATATTAGAGTAGTTGACATATGATTATGTTGGCCTTGATATCCTTTTGAACAAAAATTTCAGGGTGCAATGATTGTCTTTTCGCGCTATCCGACATAAATCAGATTTCTCGAACTCAGCTGTGTGCCGTAGTTTATGTATGAGTTTGAGAAAAATCAACGTTGCTATTAAGTCAAACCAAATTAACAACTTCGATGACCGCCATTGATCGGAAAGCTTTTGCAGAGAATATTTGAAAATTTAATGCAATACGCATGCTCAAGCATAATTTCGAATCACAGTAATAGTCTATGCATTCGTAGACTTGAAAATCGCTTTTTGTTAACGAACGTAGTTCTACAATTGAGATGTGTGGATAAAACTGCATCTAAAGCCATACATGCACAACATATACAAAAGTCAAGTCACAATACGCTTATCATTATGTAGTAGGTAAGTGCAGTGCGGAATAGTGCAACGGCGTCCAGCAGAACTCCGACAACGTAACTGCAATATAGCCAGCCAGAGTAGGCTGGCTGTACCTAATTGCTCGATAATCGCATCAAAGCAACGAAAGTACTCAACGAAACTTCTAGCGAAGCGACGGAGACAAGAGGGAAAGGTGAGAGAGAGAGAGAGAGAGAATGTGAGATAGGGAGAGGGGAGAGAGATAGATCGAGAGTGATGGAGATGGAGAGAGAGAGAGTGTGTGTGTGTGGGAGGGGGAGAGAGAGGAGGAGAGGGGGAGAGTAATAACAACACTGTTTCCTGGGATGGGGTACATGGACTAACAAAACTAGTCAATCAAGCAGACAGTAATTAACCGCAATTATAAGCGTCCTTCAACCTATATTTTGTTGACTAGAAGTTGTAAAATAGAAACCTATGTAAAGTAATGCTAAAATGAATAAAATACTTTCCCGTAGGCTCTAACACAGAAACCATTACTAAGAGGTATTTTCTTATAATAAAACAACAATGCCTACCTTGTAAGAAGTCAACTGCGCCTTTCCGCCATAACCTGACGAAGCAGGGGCAATATCAAAGGCTACAACACATGTGGTATAACGTTTTGCAGATTTAGGAAAAGAAAATTGTAATTTAGGGTTAAATAAATTATTTAAATATAATTTCAAAATGTTCATGCGAAACAACAAAACTGTATGAATCTATTACTCTAATTGAAAAGTTTATTCGAGATAGTGTACTCACAAACTGTTGTATCGGAGAAGTCGTCGTCCACCATAAATTCTGAAATAGGATAAGATAGTTTGCGTTATAGTGATTTGATACTTCAGCATTTCAACACTTTCCTCATTATTATAAGAAACCACTTAAATAGTATAAGAAGAAATTAATAATTGCTCGAAAGGTTTTGCTGGTTACCTACGAACGTAGCTATAATGATAGATTAAGATTTAGTAACCTAGTTCTGAGAACGAAGAGTCTTGGAGCACGTTCGATTCAATAGAATGTGCTCGGAGTTAGCTAATTTAACCCTAAAAACTCTTTCAGAAGCACATACAAATAAGTGGAGCTTGTAAAACATTTACATTTCATTTTTATGCTATTATATATGGAATTTCCATTGGACCCTAGGCGTTCTCTCGGTTGATTTACCAAGTTTTTTCAAAACCTAATACCCTTCCGTCGTATTACAGTCAACTTGGTAATCCCGTCTCCCAGTGGCCCATTGTTATCTTTTTGCCGTGACAAAGGCAGCTGCTTGAACAAATCATACATATATTTCACTCTGTGCGGCGGATCTAGCCTGCACGCTCTCTCTTTCTCTCTCGTAAAACAATAACGCATGCTATCCATTGCTTATATTGCTTGATAACGCTTAGTCAATTAGAGTTCGCGTAAGAAAGATTTATGTGTGACAATCGAGGTCTCCGCTTTTTTAATGCCAGGATCAAACCCATTTAGGGGTCCCTTTTGCTCACGTTCGCAAAACAAACCAAATCAGCCACTAAAATATCTAAAAGTCTCCAATTGCATATAGATGAAATTAGTCTGCTGTACTTCCTTAAGTCAACGAGAAATCAATATGTATTGAAATTGTTTACAGTAATGGCTCTTATTTAGAGCTTACGGTCAGTACTTTTCAACTAACTAAAGAAGTCTTAACGTTTTGAGATGAGACTGTCCAGGTTGAACTTTAAGAAGACTACCATACTACAGCTATTTAATCGATTTTTAATAAAAATTGCATATCTGAATATAGTCAATAGACAGACGACTCGAATCACCCAAAATATAAACGTATCTTGTGTTGTCTTTTAATTATGATTTATAATGTAAAAATCGGCTGAAACACCTATATCGGAACCTCTGAAAAATCTAGGAAAAAAAACCAGCAACAATCTTCGTTAGTGCATGGCAGATGTTCACTATCGAAAGCTGGTTCGGTTCAGGGCATCAACTTTATATATTATCTGTATGTGCGGGAACAAGAGCTTGCGTTACGATAATACAATTACTTGTTCATTTTTTTTTTCTCTGGATCATTTATGGGTACCGATAACAGTTATCGTCCAGGAATAAAATAGATCGTTTAAACTGCCGTAACTGGGAAAAATATTCTGTTAGCAAGCTTAGTTTGATAGGCAGCAATTTTGGGCACTTAATCTTCAGAAGAGTGCTGTCTTTCTGAGCCTTTGAATCCATTCAATGTGCGTGAAACCACCAGGCTCTTTTGATTAGTACCAGCGATAGAAGATGGAATATTGATACTAAAAGCCTAAAAGGGGGGGGGGGGTCTTATACAACTTATGAAATATTACATAAAATCTGGGGAAGTTTTTGACTTAAAATTGGATCATTTGTACTGTGAATAAAGAATTTTGATAATAATGATTTCGCATTGCCTAGATTGATGCTTGACATGATTGAGTCTGATGAAAGTACAGGGGACTACTACTTTTACATCAAAGCTAGAAAATTAAAGTCATAAAATACTTAGCTGAAAGAAACTACATCTGCGGGTTTGAGTGAGCGCTGCAAAGCTACGTGATTTGCACGGCGACGTTTTTGATTCGCTATCCGTGCCGGATTCGAGTCCAACACAATCATGACTGCTGTTGTAAATGTCAAAGATATTTTTTGCAATAAAGTAATAAATTTCCTCGATAGATCGGGGAAAAGGTTCATGTACTGTACCTCCCGATTCTCATAGGGCACGATAACTTGCGGAGTTATATAGCTGGAATAGAAAAAGCATTCGGGCTGTATGTGATATAGGACGAGAAGTTGGTCCGTACATACGTTGGCGGTACGTACTGGAGCCAGTCAGGAGCAGTGTTGCCGATTCAAAGAGAAAGCAAGCCAACCTGCGAGACTGTGTTCCGTATGTATGCGAATCGAAGAAACAATAGGAAATAGGAAGGAACCCCACCAAGGCATTAGTGAGAAAGAGTGCGCACCTCGAAAGGTTATTATAACATATATATAATGAACTCGCTGGAAGCGATGCTCTACAGTTTGGTTCGTTGGGTGTACGGAGGAAGAACATACTCCGTCAAGAATGAGACTCGTCTAACGAGGTAAAGAGCTCGACCAGAATGACCAAGACCAATTGATACCCCTTATCAGGCAGTAATACTATCAAATGAAGACTGGAATTGATTCAGAGCGAAACATAAGAGAAGAACTAAGAATTGGCTAGTGGTTCCGGAAGAACTAGGTCCAACCGTCGGTACTAAAGCTCGCATTCACCCTGCATGGAATAGGCTTTGTTCTCGTGTCTGGTTTTATGTTAAGATGATTACTCTAATTTTGTACAATGTAAAAAAAATCTAGCTTGGCTTCGTTTTATACCCTGAATTCGTGGTTCGAATTATATAATAGTAGATCCTTTACGGACAGAGAAGTACTAAAAGAATTAAATACTTTATGCCGGTACATCGTTCCTCTGATATTTTTTAGGAATCCTCCTAAAAATTCTTCGTCTTGAGGGTCTATGTTTTAATTTCGATTTTGCTTACTCCAGGAAGTGATGTTATCAGCATTGGAGGCAATGCTAGGACCAGGATTTCAAGTCTTTTCTGCTGAAGCCATTCATATCAGTTCCAACGATTTAGCATACTGTTGTTGATACACTTTCAGCAACCCTAACTGATTTTTTGCATTTTGAATCGAATTCCATTGCAAAACATCCAAGTGGGCTTATCTTCGTCCATGCGGAAGTTAAACTTAAGCAAGGCAACAAGCATGGGTACTGCTATATTTCAATCAGTTGAAGACCTTCTAGACGCCAAATTACTAAGGATATGTAACATTTTCGAGGAGATGACACGGCTCAGAATAACCGTCAAATGTACGAACCAGATTGCTTTGTCTATTGACAGATCTAAAAAATACTACAACATCTAATGACAGCGAATTGTACTAGAATTAAACGCTTTTAATTACTTTTTCTTAGAAATCAGTGCAGCGAATTCAACGAACAATCCTCGCTAGAGTTTGGTAATGGAACTCTAATGAATTGTGCAAAAAGTAAGCTTGGAAAGCGATTTATCTTGGTGGAAAATTTAAAACAGCTAACTTTAGAACGCATAGAACTTTGTATCCAATTAGCTTCACCTATGGGCTTAATATCTCTGACCGGTGTCCGGTTATTTTGCATGCATAAACGTAAGAGTTAATTCTCGTCTATTTATTCAAATTCACTCTAAAGGAACTTTTTATATCCTTAAAATGCCGTTTGTTAGAAAAATTTACTAGCTATTATCGTTTTATGCGATTTTCTCTGGTTTGATTTGTTTTTTGGTTCGTTGGCTGCATCGGTGGAAGTAAATAACGTACGGTTGTCCCATGGCTAGATAAAATTGTCTAATATAGTTAAGCCTAAAGGCTTGGAAACTTCGGTGAATGATTTCTGTTTGCCCTTGTTCAGGAAACGGAACTGCGCTAGTGCCTCTAACAATTGTCGAGAGCCAAGTATGGACCAAACTATACCAAAGAGACACGGTATTAAAGCGACACACTGGCTACTGCTAGCGGCGTAAACAGGGTCTTGCAGCAGAAAGCTTCCTCAAAGCACCCCAAGATTTAGGAATGATCATTTCCTACAGGTAGAATAGCCTCCTTTTCATTTACATCTGCGTAGTTAGCCTGTTAAAAACTTCTCACCAAAAGAAACACTGAAGAGGCGGGCTTGCATAAAACGTTATTTTAAAATGCTTTTTCAAAAACTAAGAAGGTTCCTCTACCTCAATTTTACTTCCGCTCATTCTCACGAACATATGACTTTGATTCGCTAGTGGTTCGTGAAAGCATTCTAACAAATTCGCTTGTTAATTAGTTTCTGTAACCCGTCGCTGTAACCTGTAATGTGTATTAGAGTGTTTATACCGACAAGCCGCGTAATTAAGCTCAAACTCGGGACTTAACAGACACAGGGTAATAATTATCTTTCTGGTCTTTTCCTATTGCTTTCTTCCATCACAGCGCCCAATTTCATTGTCAAATTTTAAATCGATTTGTTCTATCACAGTCAGCTCTAGCGTTTTAAAAGAAAAATGCAAATGTATCCAATTTTGGGGTGGCTGTGGGTTCTCGAGATCCTAGTTAGCAACTCATTTTTCTATAACTGCAATGTTCAACATAACTGCGCCCTTATGATCTTGTTGCTTCTCGAAGACACTGACAGGTAACGTGCGTATGATACGTTTTTCACTAGAGAAACGTAGCTTATTACACAAGTTAAATATACACAAAACAATTCATTATACAATTTCGATAGCGTTATATGAAGCTCAATAGCGCTTCCCAAACGATCTATTGTTTTGCCATCAAATTCGAGCAGTTTCACCTTGATAGGCTGCACTCACGATGAGTACCGCACGATCGAGGAAACGTTTAACACCAAATTCGTTCTGTTACCTTGCGGGCACTACGATGCTAGTTTCTCTTTTACCAAAGCTTTTATTTATTAGGAAAAAAACGCAGTTTGGCAGGACTCCTACCCCAAGTGCCCGTCTGCCTAAGTAGCGTTAATTACGCTTATGTTCCAAATTTTAGAATACGGTCTTTTTCAGCCGTTAGTTGCTGTTAGACTGATCCGCGGCCTTTGCTTTCACTCTTTTGCTATCGATTTAATATTTACATTAGAGAGTAGATCCATCCCGTTCTCCTGCTGGAATAATCCACCCATTCTGCTGCCTTACTGCAAGTGTTTCATCCGCCTATTCTCATTTGCTTCACATACAGCCTAATATAAACTGACGTTCAATACACAGCAACAGTCACCTGGTTATAGCTTTCCAAGGATCCTTTTGCGCTGATTCTGGTATTCCGTTGCAGTTATCCAGCTATAGTAGATACGTTTCCGTGATTCAATCGGTTTATTGCATCGCTGCGATCCAATCCGTTAAATTTATCTTTTATAGTAATGTCCCCTTGTACTAGCCCTGTGCTTTGTTGCAATGACCCCGTTATCTCATTGCAACTAATCCGTTGTTATATCGTGTTCATCACACTGTGTTCAGCTTAAATCCAAACGGGCGTTTGTGTATGCAAAATTAACATCTGGTCTTGCACGCGACTCTAGCCTGTAACCCTTATCTGGTTTATAAGACTTTATTCCAGGTACGGGATTATTAATTGCCATCATCCTCGCTTCCTCGTTGAAACATGCACGCTTGTAGATGTGGTTGGTTAGTAATGGACTGGCGGTAGTATACGTCGCCAGCGCCCCTGTGCTGAGTTGGACAACACCTATCATTCTATACAAATGGTGCGAAAAAAACTGCAGGCTTTTAACGAATTCGTAAAGCACCCTTTATCGAGTCGAGCACTTTTATCGGTATTATTGGATGTGTTAAGTCTGTATCTTAACGCATCGTATGATTTGGTAAAATGTTTGGAGCCGCATGAGACTTACGTGTGTATTGCAAATGAGAGAATATTTGGTGGACATGTATCAGACTTATAGAGGAACATTGTCTGACGGCAATTTTCCCTAAACCGTGTTTGGAGGAATACGATGCATGAAAAAAACATAACTCTGCTTGTGACAGCTTGTGTGTCAAGATAACCTGTGCGCTTGGGTACAGTTTGAGGTAGTTTAATTTGAAGCGACCTAATACAGCTTTGTAACTGTAAATTGTCCCTTTTAGATACTCTGTTTAACGACAACTGAATATATATCGAACGACAGAGATTCCTCTTAGCAACGCAACAAGCTATCCTTACATATGTAACGAGCCGCAGATAAATGGGGTAGACACAGTTATCATTGTCGCCATTATAAGGCCATTAATGTCAAACCGTTTCCGAAGGCTAGCTAGTGGGTCACTTGATTAAGAAACGTAAGCAAAAAAGCACAATATTACAGGGGCAAGGATACCCCTGACGATAAAACAGGCTTCTTCTAAACCAGCGGAATCATACCATTATATTTTTCAGATTGTCTTGTCTCCCAAAAAATCGATAGATTAAGAGCCCCGCTGAACGCTTTGTCAAAGAAATCGCATACACGTTATAACGTTTTTCAAAAGATGTATTTGGGGGGCTCGTTTAGAACGCTCGTATGCGCTATACGTATAAAGTCCCGGCCAGGGCAAAATTCGCTATTAAATATGGTATATGCATTTGAGTGTATCGCATACTTGTATTGTACATCCAGAGGAGCAACATTATTATTATTTAGGATGACACCCACCAATGTCACAGATGTTCAGATTAACTTCAATTCATCAAAGTAATAGTTAAATGTATAATCGAATTATGGTACCAATTATATACCACGGTATATATGGTATCAATTGCGAATTATAATTGAATGTTACACGTCCGTACGTGGACGGTTTGGCCGATACTCATGTATTGTAGAATGAGTATCCAGTAGTGACAAATCCAGGTAGTTTTTTTAGAGGCGATTATACTGTCTACAAAGAAAGACCCATTAACTCGCATAGCTAGTTCGAAAATAAGCGAATACGGTTTAAAATAGCCAGAAGTAAACAAATCTCGTGGTTGGGCTTTCCAAGCACAATTGTCTCGTCTACCAGCAAAAAAAAATTGCTGCTTGCAAATCGGTTCAAAGACAAATTTAACTATACATACTGGCTAAAATAGACCCGTCTATTATGCCCAATTCGGTGTATTCGTAGGGAAAACCTCTGCTTAAGCAAATCGGAGGTCTCACAGTGAAGACCGCCTAGAAACCTTTTTTATTATAAAGGGATAGTGGACCCATATCTAACACTCTTATTATCTCTCTTGAACACAGCACGATCAGCAGCCAAGTAGCTGAAACTTCAAGAATATACATATTAACAAAAGATGTGTAAATGCTGATTTGTCCAAGTGCTATCATACCAATACATTGCAGAAGTGTGTGTGGATCGTTCTAGAGAACAACTGCCACGTTAACTGATTAGGAACAAAGGCATTGAAAGAAATCCGACGTACGTTGGATATCACTGCACACTTTACTCATAAAGTACATGCTGTGTGCAATTTAATCTCTACTCTTCGACGAATAGTAAGCCTTCGGTGGCCCTGTGGAATTTCGTAGCAAGCAGCCAGCTCTCTAGAAAAATTCACGAAATCAGCAGACATCTGTATGCCTTAATAGACTGCGGTAACAGATCACTTCCTACAAGGTTTGCACAATGGGAAAACGATACTTTATTTATGCCTAGTATTTTAACTTTACCACCTTCTAGCTGTAGGTAAACGTACTTTGTTATCATGTTTTCTTAATTGTCTAATTCATCTTGTCGACAAAATTAGGTTCTCTTTACCATTCTTAAACTAACGTTCTTAACTTAGTTCTATTGATCTGCAAGGTCAACTACGTTTAACCTCTCGGGCTACATCATCGGGAACATTGATTGGGACTGGGTTGAGGTGGACTCCAAACGTCTTAGGAACGAAAAGAAAGCTTCACATAAAGTGTCTTTAACCCTGTGTGAAATAGGTTCTCTTATTAACCCTCTATTAAATGGCGCTCTAATTTTATTTGTACCCGAAGCTTTATCAAGGTCATTTCATTTGGCCAGAGTTTTATCTCGCATCTAGTTGTGTGTTACTGATACAATGTCGCACGATCACCACATGTTAAGTTTCAACTTTACGCAGACGAATGAAAAACGATCTAGATTTGAACTTCGAATCAATTATTGTGCTAACTAATTGCAGATGATTTACAGACACAAATTACAAAGCTAATTACAGACAAAAACGCACCGTGTTTAGTAAAGGCCAGTTATAAGCGTTTGACTACCGAACTCGCTTCGCCTGAAGCTCAACCCTAAGATTTACAGGGAACACGCCAATTTCATCTAATAAGTATAGAATGCAGGCGAACTGCCTACCAGTCCTCTGCCAACACATTGTAAAAATAATGCGATCATTTAAGGATATTGAACACGCCAGCTTTACGGCCACTGTCAGTTAAGCACCAGGGCAATGTACACACAGGTTATATCAAAAATTAAAAAATATATAGATATCGATTATTTTTAAGCTACATTTGTGATACATGAGTATCGGCCAAACCGTCCACGTACGGACGTGTAACATTCAATTATAATTCGCAATTGATACCATATATACCGTGGTATATAATTGGTACCATAATTCGATTATACATTTAACAATTACTTTGATGAATTGAAGTTAATCTGAACATCTGTGACATTGGTGGGTGTCATCCTAAATAATAATAATGTTGCTCCTCTGGATGTACTCACAGCTCTATGAAGGTCATTTGTGCTTACTAATATAGGTCAGTCAGCTTTATTCGTAAAGCCCTAAATCTATTGAATCTTAACTGTATCCCAGTATTGATCTAACAACTACTTGATCAATTGTTACGCATGCTTTGCTTTCGAAAAATAATTATCCAATGAACAGTGACCGCCGTCATTATCAATCATGCATGTGCACATACAGCCCCTATGTTCGGTGCAAAAATTATATTCCTCCTACCGTTGATCCATACGCCCGCAATTCCGCCAAGAACGACAAGTAGGATGAGAATCCCGGAGGCTGGAACCGAGCCTTCTTGAACTCCTTTATCCGAATGCATTGTTACCAGGGACGAACGACGTCGGGGACACATTCTGATTTACTTTTATGGGAGCTTTGAGCTTCAGCTAGATTTAGAAGCCGTAACACTTAATGTGTTCAAAAGTTGGATTCGGGCTTCTCGTCACACGAAGAATATGCACCACAAATATTAACGAGCAACTCCCGCACGGCACTTGATCTTATGCTGCCTTTGTGTCTTTGCCTTTTGGCCGTCTTAAACTTACGAGTGGCACTACCAAGGACCTCACACCGACCCTGGCGCCAAGTTCGCACGGCCAACGATCTCAAACCTCGGACTGTGGCTGCTGCTGTGAGAACCGTGAGGTCCTCGGAGAGACACCGATGTTCGCGTGGCGAGGGAAACATGAAGTAAAGCGCGACAAACAGCTCTGGAGAAAACCCTAGCCAGCACTGCCTGCCAGAGGTAAGAAGCACGTTCTAGCCGAGACTGAGTACAGCCGACTGTCGATGCGCTGTCCTTGGCCTGCCACATAGAGCCGAGTTGTGCGAGCCTCCCGTGCCTGCTGTGCCTACTCGTACGCCATTCATTGCAAGCTGCAATGAGCTGAAGGCCGAATCAGAAACAGCTTTGGCTAGAACTGACGGTCTAGCAAAGTTCGCACCGGCGCCTCAACGATAAACCAAGTCAGGATTATTTCCAGGGGCAGGATGAGAACTATTACTCAGTTAACATGTTGGTCGTAATAGCCAGCAGTAATATACACACTCGACTTAGGCTGCACCAGATTAGGCCGTTGATACAGAGCACCGACGGCGGAAAAGTATCTCGAATTATGCTACGGCCGGACACTACGATCGACCTGGCAGGGCTTTTACAGCACGCGGCGTCTTGCTAGAGCAGAATAGACTAGCCAGCCTAATGCTCGAAGCTTACCACATACTTAGACGTTCTTCTGAGCAAAAGTCTTAACTGCTGCATGATACATTTTTATTTAATGTGGAGGCAAATATGTGTGTATCTAGTACATTTCTGCAACGGATACATTTATGCACGTGATGAACCGCTTATGAACATCATTTCTGGCATCATTACTTCACCTCTTTCTAGAGGGCTTAGACTATCAAGCGAAAACAATAAGTACGTCAAACTTAACTTGACCTGAACTGCAAGTCATATCAATAACCACATTACATTAGTGATCAGTTATCTGGACTTACTTAAGCACTGAAAGCGTTGGATCCTGACAATTATCTTTTATTATGCATTTCCTTTTCAGCTAATAGAGCCTTGAGTATTTCAGATTGAATAAGCTAGAGGTACCATGTCCATCTTTACACTGCCTATTTCGAGCGCGCTATTAAGAGTCGTCATCGCCAGTCTTCACATATTACTCCCAATTATGCGTTGCTTGCATTATGTATTGAGTACCTGGTCTGAATCTTCATCTTGTAAGTCATGTGCAGTTTCTGCATAAATATTTGTGAGTTCACAAAGTCGGACGACTGTTCACTGGACCAGTTTATATTATGCTGAGGCCCTGCATTTGTACCTTATGGATAGTTTTGTTACCTTGATATGCGTGTAGTTTATAATACGTAGTATTTTTTTTTCAGTCTCTTAAAGTATTCTGTCACTAGAAGACGTTGGTTTCTTGGCACTGAAAGGCGGTCAATTGGTGCAGTTGATAATGCTATAGTATAGGTGACTATAGTTTTTTTCTTAATGTTCTTTCTGTGGAACTTGTATATATTATAACAAACATATTAAGACGGTAAAATTTAGACATTTAGTAACGATATATGGTGCACGTACTTTTATTTAAGGGAAAGAAAATTAGGCATAATTTGAAGAAAATTAATTAGCCTTACACGTGGATGGCACATACGCCATGAGGACATCTTATTGATTCAAGCTGTACGGGTTACATTTGTCGTACGAATAGTCTTATCGAACATTATTCAGTCTAACCTAAAAAAATCGAACCTTAGAGTGGTTTCGGATTGTTTTATCTGCTAATTCCTTACATTTTTCACCCGCATCGTTTAGTGCTATCCTAATGGATGTAAGCCAAATATTGCAAATCTCCTTTTCTTTTAACTTCAAGACAATATAAAAACTTGGAAGCTCGAGGTTTTTGTGGAGTTAAATGAAAAAGTTGAGTTGTCCACCTTGTGCCCCAATAACTTTATGCACAGCAAAAGTTGTCTCAAACTTCGAAGTCAACCTTGAGAAGATGACAAAGCTGAAAAACAAAAAAAAATTTCCAATACATCTACAAAACTTCTTTTAGTTCTTCTTGAAAGAATTTAGAAATTCTTGAAAGATCTATGTAGATACCCTAAATCCTTGAAAACATGTTGTGTATCATGGTTAATGACCATTGTTTGGAGCATTTGTTACGAGATCATTGGATAGATTATATCAACAGTTGATTTCTAAATTGTATTCGAAAAAAGTATATTATAACTCACCATAATTAAGCATTATAATAAGCAACGTAATTATTTACTTTAGCTAACTACTTAATATGGGGCTTTGTGTATTAAACTAGAGATAACAAATAAAACGTCCCCACTCTCGCAATCGAGACAATTGTTCTGACACAAACATCAAGTGTTTATAGTAAAATTACATCTCTCGAATTTTAGGGCTCCCGGTGTATACCATTAAACAGTTATATGTCAGATGGCTATATTCGTTTAATGTTAGCCTGGCAAGTAATAATAATCATCATCATACTAATGTTTATTTACTGTGAAAATCGTTGCGAGGTATATAGATTAGTTTTTCATTTTTATGTATCATTTTTTTGCCACTTTAAGATAGGCAGTTACGCTAAGTATTGTAGCATAAGAGCAAAAAATAAAAAATGGATTTTGCTTGATATCGCTGTTTTCTGAAAAAAAAAAAGGCTCGACCACTTATAAGTGGTCCAGCGGTTTATTTTTTTTTTACATACAGCGTGACATACAGAGTGTTACATACTTGGCACACATACTCAACTACTGTTGATGATTTTATCAAAGTAGCAAACTTGTGATTTCAATCAAAGGCCACGAAATATCAGTCGCGATCTTAACACTAAATTCGTGTATTTTAGTTGTTTTTATGCAAGGAATGAAACTGACGTACTACTTTACACAAATATCGATTTGCTCGAACAAGCTGTCCAAGTAGCTTAATATTACGTCTATGTATAGGTAATTATCGTTTTTATTAATTGCTTTCCTGTTTAATTTTTCGCTGCATGGTGATGTCCGGTGTTATATGTCGGTTCTTTCTACGGGATCATTGTCTTTCGCGCTTTTTTCTTGCAGTATATTTGGCGTTTTTTATTCATACTAGGAGGTATATTTGCTTAAACCAACCATAGGAATACCACAAAAAGAGTTGGGTTTCCGATTGAGAGCACTATTAAGACGTTCAAAGAACTCATTCAACTCAGCATTAATAAAGAGCCAATTTTTTTTCTAGGAAAAATAGTAGTTGGATAGGTCTGTGTCTTTTGGAAGAGTCCTTCTTAATAACTAAATAAACACTATAGGTAGATTTCTCCAAATTCGCAGGTGGGCTCACTACCTTGTCACGCAACATGCCAAACTGGGAGTTAGATTTAAAGGTAACATTTTATAATCGACACAAAACGACAATAACGGTCTTGAAGAGAAAAAAAGAAATTTGTAGCGGTATACGGCACTTGACGGTTTAGTGGCCAATTTGTACTTAGGTGAGAATGGCACGTAATGATATTTACGGCGAGTAAAAAATAATTGTTACTAAGCCGACATTAGGAAGCACAGCATTTTCAGTGATTTCTTAATTTAGGCATTCCAGTTTGCCTAATTATTTTCGTAGATAGATGACATCTCGTGTACGATTAGAAGTCACACCTCTGTGATGCTATCTGTTTACCAAACGACTTGTACTAGACTAAAATACATATCATGACAGATCAGTCATACTTTAGCTACATCCTCGAAACCGATTATGAACACAATCCCCGCTATCAAAATCGTGATTTCGACCTGCGGCCTCCCCAAAGATGAATAACTCGCAACATAAATATTCTAGTCTTTAATGGTTTAAAGTATCTATTCGAAAACTACTGATGCCAAATATGCTAGAAGTACGCATCTGGTAGCTGACCTCTGCTATCAAAAACGTCATTTTTTACAACTATGCTCAAAGCAGCAGTGGGAACACAAGGAAGCACATGAGATAGTGTTTTTTCTTAGTTTAAGTTTTTATTTCAAACTTCAAAGCTTAAAATAAGGCGTCGGCATTCATTTACAGGACCGTTTACATACGAGAGATGAACGTAACACCAAGACAATATACGAAATTTGATGATGGAATAAAATTCCAGCTATGTATCACGCGTAGGACATCTAACGCTTTATTATCCAAACTATGTGAAAGACCTTCATTAATGCTTTATAGTTGATCACCATATACTAATCAGAAAACCTTCGGATGAGTAGAGCAGATACACTTAAAAAGTATCGACAACACTGTAAAGCTTGGCCACGTATGGTCAACATGTGATTTTTGAAGTAACGGCAAAAATTTTTAGTGGTAGGAAGTCCTTAATGCCATATTTGACAGATGAACTTACCCATATAGTAATAACAGCCGAATGTGTTTAACAAAAACGCGAAACTTAGACTTGTCGATTTACTTGTGCAGGTGGCGCTCTGCTAATCGTGAACGAAACGCTCAACCTTCTCCGGGCTATGATCGAATGAGACTTTTTCCTAGACCTAGAGAGCTCTTTAAAGTCAGTGATCAAAGCCTAGCATCCACTGCGCCAAGACAGATTTTTGACTTGTTGGCAAGGCTTGCAAAAAAAGAACCAAGTATTCTTTATGGTGTCACTGGGTGTGTATAGATCCGTTAAAAAAGGCCCGCTCAAGCATATTCGCCTCGTTTCACTCATTATTCGAGTTTAGCTAGTATAGGTCTGGTTCCTGGCGATGCACAATCGTTTCTTTTACTAATTAGGAAGTAATTGGTGCAAGAGTACTAGAAGGCTAATTAAATGTTGCCTAAAGGGAGCAACGCTTGAAGACAGTGAGTTTGGACGAACGCAGTACGTGGGAAGAATATAAGCCTGCTTTATAAATCGCCTTTTGATAATACGGTTCTTTCCCACCTCACTGCAGTGAGGTACAGTGGGGAAAATGCATGGCTGCATGCAGTCCCGTGCTTAAGGCACACATCTGAATGAAAATAATGCGCACCTTAGCCGGACTTTAGTTATTAACCTGAAATCTTCACCTATATGCGATTGTAGGCAGATCTTGCATAACTTGTTAAACAACAAGTATCTTTCTTGAAGGCGGCCGGCGACCGAAGAACCTAACACTCATTCCTGACACTACTCAATCTGTAACAGCTCTTAAAACGTATTTAAAAAAATCCCAATGTTCTACGTGATCATATGTGTTGATATTTT